GATTAGGTAAATGTACGTTCGTGTTTCTGTAATTTAATTTGTCACTTTAAGTATATTTATCTTGACTGTTTAACTAGCAGAGGGAAAAACAAGAAGTGTATAGAAGAGATAAAAAAAAATATAATTTTTAAAATTGAAAAATGACAGAAACATACATGTTTAGGTTTTTTTGTTACAGAACAACTGATAACAAGAGTAGAGAAAAAACGAATAGAGAGAAACACAATGCAGCTTAATATTAAACACAGTCTACTTAGCTTTAGAAATAATAATATCATGCAGCTCTTATATATTTTTTTTCAAATAAACGGAATAGGTGGATCTCACAATGCAAATGCAAACGTTCAGACGAAATGCAACAAAACCTCGGCCCGCATAGTGATGTATGTCTACTGCAGTGACAGCATTCTTGGAAGCTTAAATTAATGTTAACTATAAAATCCACTTAACTTTCTCTCAAGGAGACGAAGCTGTTGTAGTTTTTTAATACAAGACTAAGCACACAAAAACCAGATTTCGGTTGACCTAATTATTGTATTTAAAAATGCTACTTATAATGAACAATTCAGGTACCGGTTTTATTGTACCCTGCATGTAACTTATTCTTGTTTCAACAAGGGATTCCGTAGCTATTTAGATCGTTACTAGGTAATCGTTTTAACGAACGATTCACAGTTTAAAGTGGTAATCTTTGATCCATTACTTTTCTTTCTGTTAGATATGTCTTGCCTTGAGATACGAATACGTGTGGCCCGATCTATAATGAGTTGGTTGGTGAAATGCTTTCTGCATCTAAAATGTAAAAAAACATTCGATATTTAATCGTACTTCAAATATTTGTAGGCCCCACCTGTAGGTGGGTGATATACTCTATGCATCTTGTATAAAAACACTGTTTCGACATAATTTTATCGAATTTCGAATCTTTGTAGCCCCTACTATCTTCGACATATTTGTGGGTGAATTGCTTTCTGATCTTAATTAATAGTAAAAACATTGTTTCGACATTTTATTTTACGCGTGTTTCTTATGACACCGAAGACATACATTTTCATGATACATTTTAATGTGTGTTTTTTTTAAATTGGACCCTGCCCATTTCTATCTGCTGGCACTTTTGTGTTTAGTACAGACAACAACAGCAAAAAAGTGCAGCATTGTGTATTCTAAAATTAACCGTTAGTTTTTAGTGTAAGCCCACAAGGGAAATGTTGATGATGTATTTTTCTATTATGAAAAGATCAGAGCTTACCTGTAGACGTCTCCCTGAAGTGGGGGAAATTCTCCTCTCCTCACGTTTAGCGGACACTGTCTTGTCACGTCTCATCAGCCACAAAAGACTAAAGAGGATAACCCCCTTTTTTGTGTTTTGTCTCGCGCGGAAGAGCCCTAGTTTGCTCCCTACTCTCTGTGTATGCGGAAAGCCAGGTAATTGCTTGCTGCGACGGTATTCGTGTTGTTGTTCGTGCATGAGTGTGTGGGTGTGTGTGCGTGCTTTTTGTATGTGCGTGTTAAGTGTGTGCGCGTGTGTGTGTGAGTGAGTGTGTGTTTGTGTGCGTGTGTTGGTATATATGTGTGCGTGTGTGTGTGTGTGTGTGTGTGTGTGTATAAGAATAAGGAATAAACAAAGACCCATGTTCCTTATTGCGTCTGTTTGTGTCTGGCGTGTGCAGAAAGGAAGCAAGCGTCAGATCATCGGATCTTTCTCCGCGGCCTCCAACGTCACTGGTATCCTCACAGACGTCAACGCAGTCAGCGCCCTGGTCCACAAGTACAAGGGCATCGTGCTCTTCGACTACGCCTGCGCAGGCCCGTACGTGGACATCAACATGAACCCAAAGGGCAAAGGGTAAGAAAATTTTGTTCTACCCACGAAGACTTGTTAAAGTAAAATCGCTACCTCAGAAATTACAAAGCTTTATCTGCTCAGTGCCTTGTTTTGAGCAATTTGACGTTGACGATTTTGAATTCCTCAGCATGCCAAGCTTTTTCAAATGCAACTCTAAATGTCTTGATAAAGACTCCTGATAATCTTACGATTTTGATAGAACGGACAGAACATATTTGGTTTCTAGCCTCATGGTCATAGTAACTAAAAACGGCCCAAAAATATCAGAATTTTGTAATTCTGAGATAGCAAAGTGTTAGAATAATTTGCCTACATCCAATCCCCCCCCAAAAAAAAGTGCCTATAACAATCAGCTTTGTTCATTAGATTACATGCATTCTGAGGCCTCCAAAGTTCTCCAATCGTCCAGAATTGGCATGC